GAAGTTTGGGTAGAAACCAAATTATGATTTTAAAAATAATTTTACAGTACACAAAATAGACATGTGAGAGGAGTTTTATCTCTGGCTTATGTAAAAAGCACTTTGGGAGAAACCAAACACCCCCAAAATATAGCTCAACTAAAGCAGGCAACAAGAATTTTTTTATTTGCCAAAAGGAAACCAGAATTCTGGGCTTGAATATTGGGGTGGCAAATTCAACCCCAAGAACCAAATAAAAGGCCCCCAAAAAAAAAGAGGCAAAACATGAATTAGAAGTATCAATATTAATCTTTTGACCATAATTATTAGTATTATTCAATTCTACTTTCTTTTACATGGAATATATCTCAACGGTTTCGAATATGTATTGAAGTTTAAAAGTATACATGCTTTGCTAGTATCTACAAGTACTCTGTCAACACTCCTTGTGCAATCGGTTATTCGGTTCAGTCTGATCTAGAAACCGAAATAATCGATGACCGAGTTGAAATATTTTTAAACACCAAACTGAACCGATCTTCTCTCAATAACAGAATAGAACCAACGTCAGTTCGGCTTCGGTTAGTTTAATAGGCATATTGGTTTTACTCCTGTTTAGACCTCCCATGAAGTCTCAAACGTATTTGTTTGATGTTGAACATAAACCGTGACTTGGCAAAGGAGACAGAGATAAAAGATGAACGGCGACTTAGCAAGTGTGTGCGCTTGTGTTTGATGTTGAACAGTGAGGAAAAGAAGAAAAAGCTTAGATGAAGCAATAAGCATAGACATCACATAGGAGAAGAGAACAAAAGCGTTGATGTGGGGGTAGAGAGAGGGGAGGTCAACACCGTGACAGGAAAGAATATCAGTAAGAGAATGTGAAGCAGAGAGCGTTAGAGCAAGTTGAGGCCGATGATGCTCTTTGAGATAGATTGGCAAGAAAAAATGGCGTTTCTGAAATTGTGCGGTGGGCCTCCCATCAGGTGGGAGGAGGAGGCTGTGGTAGGAGAAAATGAAAAATGATATGTTGTCTTATCTTAGGGTTTAGATATATTGGGTTGGGTTTAGAAATATACTTGGCCTATTAGCTTTTAGCTTGCTTAGATTCTTATGATGTATACATACATACTATTATGTATACTCATATTTTGGTTTAAAACTGAATTTTTTTCAATAAACAAACACCAAAATTTAAGAAAAATAAAACCAAATAAAAATAGAACACCGAAATAACTGACCCAAAAATACATGTGGTTCAGTTTGGTGACTGATCGATCTGTTTGGCCACCAACTAGATTGTGGGAAGTAATTTTAGTGCTTTAATTTGTATTATGAGACATTTTAGTAATTATATTTCTTTGTGGGAAGTAATTTCCCTCCTTAATCTTCACTATATCCAATTAAAATATTATTCAAATTCAAAATTAATTATTAATTTTTTTCATTTGAGCCTCCATTTGAAATTGTATTTATTTATAATGTTTTTCATTTAATCAATCTATTCAAATCTCAATCAACGTGTTATTTAAATCTCATTAATTAAATATATTCAGATCTCATAATTTTATACCCGACTCATTTTCAAACGAATCAGGTATTGCAAATTTCCAAGAATATACTTGTTGATTAATAGTTGATGGTGCTTCAATTCAGTAAATTAAAGCACTATGTACGTACGAACGCGTCAAAGTTCATGTACTAATTTCTGGTTTTAAGGTGTTTCTCCCGTACGCGTCTTGTTTATGACTTGGTATGTGTTTCAAGTTTCTATAATGAAGGATATTCCATCAGTTGTTAATAAAATATCATCCGCAACGTAATTTCAATCTTTATACTCTTTGTTTTTTCAAAAAAATAATGTTATATTGACTGGTCTAAATATATGGTTATCATGTCATGAATTTATAGTAGAAAAAGGTATTAAGATTTTGAATTTTGAAAAATAAGTCGAAATTTTAATCAAATGCTTTTATTACATAAATTATAAATTAATATCTAATAACTATAAAAAAAATTACACTATATAATTTATAAAAAAATAATGCAACTCATTTCATAATGTCACATCTAACTGGTGAAAATTAATGACTGTGGAAAATTTGCACATGAAAGTTACCGGTTTATTAACACACTCACCCGGATATATGAAAGAATTAATAATATTATTTTGTACGGAATTTAAAGAATAACCGGCGTTAATACGGATCATATTAATTAATATTACTTTTTTTTTTTTGCTTAAAAACCAAAAATATTATTCAACTCGATGATTTTAGGAAGAAAACAAGAGAAATCAAAGAAAATATTGAAGAAATTTTGGCAAAACCTGAGTTACAATTATCATTATCAATATTAGTCTACTCTACACGCTTTATTTTATATATAAAATCTTAATATCAGCGTATACTGACCTTGCAAGTTTGCTTAGCACGGAAAGAAACAGCTCAGGATTGGTTTATGACAAATTCTTTTTTGACCCAACATATTTGCATATTTGTAAAAGAACGAATTTTTTTTTTTAAAAACGCTTTGAAGAAATTAAGAAACAGCCATCCCAAATTCGACAGCTACAATGATCGTTACGTTGTTGACTTGTTATAAAGAAATGAGGTAGTCTCTGTTAAAACAAGAAAAAGAAAATTATTGTTGGGTATTTAATAAGTCAGTGGTTGGGCAAATGGATAAGGATCCAGATAAGACCAGGCCAATGGGAGTATATCTACAGTCTTAATGCCAAAACAAACAAAAACAATTTTACAACATCCTTAATAATTTACTCCTCCGGTCATTAACATAGGACCCGATTCTTAAGTTGGTTTTGGTCCTAAATATAATACCAATTTCTCATATCTATCAATTTTATCTAAAATACCCTTATAGATACTCTCTCAACCATAATCAAGTAGAAGAGGGAGAGGGGGTATTAAGAAAGATGATTATAGTGTTTTAGGAAAAATGTGTCATTTTTCTTATAATTAACTAACTTACCAATTTCCTTAATCTAATCTAATTAATTAAATGGGTCTTATATTAAAGACCGGAGGAGTATATGCTTAAAAACATGTTCAAGAGAATGGAGATGTCATTGACAATTACGGCCTTTATACCGATTCAAATTTGCCAAGTCTCTCTTGTCTATTGAAACAATTTCGTATATACTATGAAAGAAAAGTCACTGGCTGGGTATTATAAAATTATGTATAATGATATAGAAATTTAAATATAAAATGTTATAATATTAGAAATATATAACCAATGCGTAACTCTTCTCGGTTTTGCCCCTGGTTACTGCATGGTTTGCTTGCCGAGATCTTTCATTTGGTGATTGATCGAAGTTCCTTTTCCTTTCTCTCACTCCTATACCCTCAAAGGGAGTTGGGACCTAACGGTTTGATTTTGGAATCTGTAGCATACTTCTGAGGCTAAAAGAGAATGCATTGGCTAATTTGTCAGTTCTCCAGCTTATTTGTTGACTGTCTTTTTGTTGCGGTCTTCTTTCCTTTTTGCATTTTTCTGTTGAACTATTTGTTTCAGTCTCTTATTGGTAATTGAAGTATGCTTTGCTGGTAAAAAAAAAAAAAAAGAACCAATATGTAAATTCTCTGAAAATATCGATTTATAAAAAAATACATAAAATGTTTGGATCATCAAAAGTTTAAAATAAAGTGATGCATAGTTTTAATAATTAATACAAAAATTTTATATACCAAATATATTTCCAATGTGTAATTTTTTTTCGGCTAAGCATAACCATCCCCTTATTGAGAGTAATAATATTCGAGGTATTATGAGTATTAAATATGTTATAATATTCAAGTACTATTATAAAGAGAGAAAAAATTGGATGACGTCACATTGAATTGGAGTACTTCTTACATTTTCCAGGTCGGTATTCCCATATCTCATCCATTATTTGAAAAGAAATTATTTCTCTTATTTATAATTTCTCTTCTTCTTATATTGATATAATCCTAAAAGTAGTTTTCTTTCTTTTAATGTGGCTAGCTGGTATACGTTATTTGTTTGTAATATTTGAACTCGTCTTTTTGACATATCATTTTGTCGTTATTAAAAAAGGCCCAAAGTCAAAAGGACCCAATACATCGAAATTTTTGCTCAAAGTGAAAGGGGCAAAAATGTTTGTTTGGAGGCTGGCAATACATAAACCTCCGCCGGCTAGTTAGGGGACACTTAAAAAAATATTTTCACATAGGTCGAAATTATTTTCATATATTTATCTCGGACTTTATAAAATTGTTTCTAAAAAGCTAATTCAAATACTATCTTAACTTGAGTTATCTTTTGGCACAGTCAAAAGGACACTTCTAATTAACATTATCTTATATACTACCTCCGGTCCTAATTATAAGAGCCAGTTGACTAATTTGAGGAGATTAAGGAAGTAAGTTAAGTTAGTTATTTGTCCTGAATAGGTATTGGCTTTTTTAAAATATCCTTGCTAATCAAGTGTATTGATTAAAACTATCATTGTTAGAAGGGCTACTTTGAAAAAAAAAGTAATATGAGAGATAAAGTAGATTGGGATATGATATTTAGGACTAAAATAAAAGTCAAACAGGGTCTTATATTAAGGATTGGAGGTAGTATTAAACAAAATCCCAGACACAAACACACAGTCAAAGAAGCATAATTTTAATGGTTGGATTAAGTAAAAGCGCTCAATTTCTCTTAAATAAAATCGATGGTCCAAATCTTGTAAATAAAAAAAATACTAGCAAAGTTATACCCAGGAAAAGCCGGCAATACTCAAATATAATATGGTATATTACATATAAGAGAGTTAATAAAATTAATAAGGGTGACTTTCAGCTATTTTTGTTATTAAAAGATGCCAAAGTAAACGAAAGCAATTAAGGACAAGAAACAGTCAAATGTGTCGAAACCAAAGGAATAAAAAGTCGAAGGTCACCCTATAGAACATCGTTCTCTATATATATACATATGTATCGTCTTCATCCCCTTCAACTCAAGCTTGAAGGCAATCCTCTATATTGAGTATATCTATACCTGATACTGATAAATCTTATTATTACCAAACATGGCTTCCTCTCTTTTCAAGTTCACTGTCTTCCTCTGCATTGCCCTCGTCCTTTTCTCTCCCAACGGTTAGTTTATACCAATCATCACCAAAGACCCACCTTTTTTCTGTCTCACATTTGAAGAAGGTTAAGAATCTTCACATCAGTTAGCTTAAGTTATTAGCAGCCGAATAATACTGTTCACCTCTACGTAAATGCTAATTTTGAACACTTCGATCGTATGAAAGCATATATATTTTCACCCAACTCGCCAAATAACTTTTTATGGGAAATTTTGTTTTACAAGAGAGTCACAGACACACGTAGGTATTGAGAAGCGCGCGCGCGCGTGTATTGGTGCACATCATCCTACTAGTCCAATTCGAGTTATTTATACATACATCTTCACGCAGTGATGCGTGGATTGTTTCCATATGGGTTAATGGATGTGCATGGTCTCTTACGACAGAGTGTGTGTTTGTGTTTTATGCAGAGAATGTTGCAGAAGCGAAAGTTTGTCCGAAACTAAGCAAAACATATTATGGGGTTTGCAGCCACGATTTTCCCTGTCATGCTAAGTGCTTAAAAGAGGGAGCCTATCAGGGAAGTTGCAAATATCCTTACCATGGTGCTCATAAGCGTGCTTGCTTTTGCTACTACAAATGCTGAGGCAAAGCTATAATTACATGCCTGCTTGCCTCCTCATCATGCTCATCTCAAGCAGTTCCTGTCTGTGCTTTATATGTAATGGATATATAACATAAATAAATATAGTGCTTTCAGTTAAAGCACAACGACGAAGGTGCTTGGTTTTACGTTAGAAACCACAAAAATCATGATTTTGGTGCTTTTTAACATGAAGCCAAACACACTTATATGTTATTTCTCATGGTTATGTTTGGCGGCTGTTAGGCTGCTTATGTCTTTGTGTGGTGTGTTGTCGATTACTTTTATGTTCTTTCTCATGATTTGCTTTGTGTCTTTTGTATGGATATATACGAATGGCATATGTTTACAGTTATATATAATGAAGGGTTCAGTTGTTTAAAAAAAAAGAAAGTACGCGTCTGTTTGCTATTGCGAGCAGGGTCATTGTATTTCATATGTCTTGTATTTAGTTATCTACCAAACACGTCATCCCACTAGAATACAGACAATACCAAACAATACAACTCATATTCATATATGAATCAAGTGTCCGTCTCTTTCTGAGACCTCACGATGGATCTAAGTAATATGGTATAGAATTATCCAAAGAAGAAGAAACAGTCACAGAAAATAACTAAAAGACAAATATGCAAAAAAGGCACAAATCTAAAGGGAAGTTTGGGTAGAAACCAAATTATGATTTTAAAAATAATTTTACAGTATACAAAACAGATATGTGAGAGGTGTTTTATCTTAGGTTTGCGTAAAAAGCACTTTGGGAGAAACCAAACACCCCCAAAATATAGCTCAACTAAAGCAGGCAACAAGAATTTTTTTTATTTGCCAAAAGGAAACCAGAATTCTGGGATTGAATATTGGGGTGGCAAATTCAACCCCAAGAACCAAATAAAAGGCCCCAAAAAAAAAAAAGAGGCAAAACATGAATTACAATTATCAATATTAATCTTTTGACCATAATTATTAGTATTATTCAAATCTGCTTTCTTTTATATGGAATATATCTCAACGGTTTCGAATATGTATTGATGTTTAAAAGTATACATGCTTTGCTAGTATCTACAAGTACTCTCTCAACACTCCTTGTGCAATCGGTTATTCGGTTCAGTCTGATCTAGAAACCGAAATAATCGATGACCGAGTTGAAATATTTTTAAACACGGAACTGAACCGATCTTCTCTCAGTAACAGAATAGAACCGACATCAGTTCGGCTTCGGTTAGTTTAATAGGCATATTGGTTTTTCTCCTGTTTAGACCTACCATGAAGTCTCAAACGTATTTGTTTGATGTTGAACATAAACGGTGACTTGGCAAACGAGACAGAGATAAAAGATTAACAGCGACTTAGCAAGTGTGTGTGCTTGTGTTTGATGTTGAACAGTGAGGAAAAGAAGAAAAAGCTTAGATGAAGCAATAAGCATAGACATCACATAGGAGAAGAGAACAAAAGCGTTGATGTGGGGGTAGAGAGAGGGGAGGTCAACACCGTGACAGGAAAGAATATCAGTAAGAGAATGTGAAGCAGAGAGCGTTAGAGCAAGTTGAGGCCGATGATGCTCTTTGAGATAGATTGGCAAGAAAAAAATGGCGTTTCTGAAATTGTGCGGTGGGCCTCCCATCAGGTGGGAGGAGGAGGCTGTGGTAGGAGAAAATGAAAAATGATATGTTGTCTTATCTTAGGGTTTAGATATATTGGGTTGGGTTTAGAAATATACTTGGCCTATTAGCTTTTAGCTTACTTAGATTCTTATTATGTATACATATATACTATTATCATATTATGTATACTCATATTTTGGTTTAAAACTGGTTTTTTTTTTCAATAATCGAACACCAAAATTTAAAAAAAGTAAAACCAAATAAAAATAGAACACCGAAATAACTGACCCAAAAATACATGTGGTTCGCTTTGGTGACTGATCGATCTGTTTGGCCACCAACTAGATTGTGGGAAGTAATTTTAGTGCTTTAATTTGTATTATGAGACATTTTAATAATTATATTTCTTTGTGGGAAGTAATTTCCCTTCTTAATCTTCACTATATCCAATTAAAATATTATTCAAATTCAAAATTAATTATTAATTATTTTCATTTGAGCCTCCATTTGAAATTGTATTTATTTATAATGTTTTTCATTTAATCAATCTATTCAAATCTCAATCAACGTGTTATTTAAGTCTCATTAATTATATTTAGATCTCATAATTTTATACCCGACTCATTTTCAAACGAATTAGATATTGCAAATTTTCAAGAATATAGTTGATGATTAATAGTTGATGGTGCTTCAATTCATTAAATTAAAGCACTATGTACGTACATACGTACGAACGCGTCAAAGTTCATGTAGCTAATTTCTGGTGTTAATGTGTTTCTCCTGTATGCGTTTTGTTTATGACTTGGTATGTGTTTCAAGTTCTATAATGAAGGATATTCCATCAGTTGTTAATAAAATATTATCCACAATGTAATTTCAATCTTTCTACTCTTTTTTTTTTTTAAAAATAATGTTATATTGATTGGTCTAAATATATGGTTATCATGTCATGAATTTATAGTAGAAAAAGGTATTAGGATTTTGAATTTTGAAAAATGAATCGAAATTTTAATCAAATGCTTTTATTACATCAAATTATAAATTAATATCTAATAACTATAAAAAATTACGCTATATAATTTATAAAAAATAATGCAACTCATTTCATAAAATTAATGACTGTGGAAAATTTGCACATGAAAGTTACCGGTTTATTAACACACTCACCTGGATATATGAAAGAATTAATAATATTATTTTGTACGGAATTTAAAGAATAACCGGCGTTAATATGGATCATATTAATTAATATTACTTTTTTTTTGCTTAAAAACCAAAAATATTATTCAAGTCGATGATTTTAGGAAGAAAACAATTAAGAGAAATCAAAGAAAATATTGGAGAAACTTTGGCAAAACCTGAGTTACAATTATCATTATCAATATTATTCTACTCTACACGCTTTATTTTATATATAAAATCTTAATATCAGCGTATACTGACCTTGCAAGTTTGCTTAGCACGGAAAGAAACAGCTCAGGATTGGTTTATGACAAATTCTTTTTTGACCCAACATATTTGCATATTTGTAAAAGAACGATTTTTTTTTTTAAAAACGCTTTGAAGAAATTAAGAAACAGCCATCCCAAATTCGACAGCTACAATGATCGTTACGTTGTTGACTTGTTATAAAGAAATGAGGTAGTCTCTGTTAAAACAAGAAAAAGAAAATTATTGTTGGGTATTTAATAAGTCAGTGGTTGGGCAAATGGATAAGGATCCAGACAAGACCAGGCCAATGGGAGTATATCTACATAGTCTTAATGCCAAAACAAACAAAAACAATTTTACAACATCCTTACTAATTTACTCTTCCGGTCATTAATATAAGACCCAATTCTTAAGTTGGTTTTGGTCCTAAATATAAGACCCATTTCTCATATCTATCAATTTTCTCTGAAATACCCCTATAGATACTCTCTCAACCATAATCAAGTAGAAGAGGGAGATGGGGTATTAAGAAAGATAATTATGGTGTTTTAGGAAAAATGTGTCATTTTTCTTGTAATTAACTAACTTACCAACTTCCTTAATCTAATCTAATTAGTTAAATGGGTCTTATATTAAGGACCGGAGGAGTATATGCTTAAAAACATGTTCAAGAGAATGGAGATGTCATTGACAATTACAGCCTTTATACCGATTCAAATTTGCCAAGTCTCTCTTGTCTATTGAAACAATTTCGTATATACTATGAAAGAAAAGTCACTGGCTGGGTATTATAAAATTATGCATAATGATATAGAAATTTAAATATAAAAATGTTATAATATTAGAAATATATAACCAATGCGTAACTCTTCTCGGTTTTGCCCCTGGTTACTGCATGGTTTGCTTGCCGAGATCTTTCATTTGGTGATTGATCGAAGTTCCTTTTCCTTTCTCTCACTCCTATAGCCTCAAAGGGGGTTGGGACCTAACGGTTTGATTTTGGAATCTGTAGCATACTTCTGAGGCTAAAAGGGAATGCATTGGCTAATTTGTCAGTTCTCCAGCTTATTTGTTGACTGCCTTTTTGTTGCGGTCTTCTTTCCTTTTTACATTTTTCTGTTGAACTATTTGTTTCAGTCTCTTATTGGTCATTGAAGTATGCTTTTCTGGTAAAAAAAAAAAAACCAATATGTAAATTCTCTGAAAATATCGATTTATAAAAAAATACATAAAATGTTTGGATCATCAAAAATTTAAAATAAAGTGATGTATAGTTTTAATAATTAATACAAAAATTTTATATACCAAATATATTTCCAATGTGTAATTTTTTTTCCGGCTAAGCATAACCATCCCCTTATTGAAAGTAATAATATTCGTGGTATTATGAGTATTAAATATGTTATAATATTCAAGTACTATTATAAAGAGAGAAAAAATTGGATGACGTCACATTGAATTGGAGTACTTCTTACATTTTCCAGGTCGGTATTCCCATATCATCCATTATTTGAAAAGAAATTATTTCTCTTATTTATAATTTCTCTTCTTCTTATATTGATATAATCCTAGAAGTAGTTTTCTTTCTTTTAATGTGGCTAGCTAGTATACGTTATTTGTTTGTAATATTTGAACTCGTCTTTTTGACATATCATTTTGTCGTTATTAAAAAAAGGCCCAAAGTCAAAAGGACATTTCAATACATCAAAATTTTTGCTCAAAGTGAAGGGGAATGACAAACTCAATTATTTTTATATATTTTGGTATCTTTTATATGAGTTTTGTCAGCTTAATTGGTCCCTTTTTGCCTTAATTGATTTATTCTGTTTTAT